CTCTTAATGAGGCTGTATTAGAGCAATCTAAACAGCATGGACCCCATTTGTGGATGACCACATGCAGTATCTGTCTCTGAACTGGAATTTTCTAATCTCCAGCTAGAATGAAATCATACATAAAGAGAAATGGCAAAGGTGCATGAAAAAGAAAGTTGAAATGAAAGAGCAAATCTGAAACAAAATGGTCAGTCCAGAGAAATGACTCCAAAATGGTAGATACATGTTTTGAGTCAAGCAAAAAATGTTTCAATGAGAGGTTCTCCAAAATCAATACAGGTCCATGGAAGTATTCAGCTTTAATAAAACAGTGTTTCTCAGCAAAACACAGATTTATTTTTCAAAACTTCAACCATTTCTCTGTATGTAGTTCATCTAGTTCAATTCTGTTGTCAGTATGTAAGACAAAAGCCATGTATTGCTTTGCATTTCTGTGCATTCCTGGAGCACAATTTTTCTACAGATACTGTAGTACAAAATGCCTAATCCAACATCTGTTGAAGTCCATTGCAAGATTTATCCCGATGAATTTAACCTGATGAGATGTGGGGTAGGATAGGTGACAGGATTAAATAGCATATAGCTCTATGCAGCAGCTAAACATTAAGTAGGTACCCATTAAAAATGAAGTATTCTTTGCTGAATCTTTTTTATTCTCTTATAAATAAAAAACAGTGTTCCACAACTGTTCTTCTACCTTTAATTCTTCTTTACTTTTTTTTTTTTTTTTAAACTGTGACTAGAAGTCCTGTATTTTTACACTTGAAAAACTTTTCCTCTGATGATGAAGGCCATCCATGGAGGCCAAGGAGCTTCAAGTATTTAATCATGTGTCCAACCAGAAAGTTTTTCAAGCCTCATCGGATACATGATTAGGTACCTCTTAGAAAAAAAAAAAAAAAAAAAAAAAAAGAATTAAGAAGTCTGGCAAAAGTCATGGAGGGATGAGATGAAACACACGGATAATGTTTCAGAAACTCAGGGCCATGTGGTTTCTGTAGAGTCAAAAAATCTGTGATCAAAGTGAAGAAGGTTTTTATTTTTTAACAAGATTTTTAGATTTTAAATCATGTATTATTATCATGGGCCATTTTTATTTTCCAAAAGTCAAGACACTTTGCACAGTGTAGCTTTGTAACCAGAAAACAGCTGACATTAAAATGCTGAATTTAAGCATACAGTTAAATGTTGTCCAGATTGGCTGTTTTGTTGAAATTAGTGCCTGCCTACTGTTTTTAATTTACTGCTCCAGTTACTGTTTTTTAATATATTTTGACCACTATGACTCCTTTTTAAAAGTAATTCAGATTTTCAAAACACTGATTGAGGTCTCTTTTAACTGCAATTTAAAATTAGTGTTTTTTGATTTTCCATCAAAGAGACTTTAAATCACAAGATAGATAGGAGTGAAGATCTTAAGGAGGGCTGAAGAAAAACCCTTTCTTACCTGCAAGATTAAACTTTGTAATGGTTAAAACAGATGCCTGCTCTGCCACAGACCTATTCCTTCAGAGTACATGTAAATTTGAGTGCTAGACTCATCCCTTCTAGGGCTGTGTGGCATTTGCTTTGGTGGCCTTACTCAGGGAGTATAGTCTTACTCAGCACGACTAAAAGCACCAAGAGTAGGCCTTTAATCACTGCCACTGCACTTCAAAAGAAACACACAGCATGTGGCCAGAGCACTCGAAGCTGGGTCAATGGGAACTTCTCTGGCTTTCACACAGGAGGCAGAGGAAACCGTACAGGGACGCTGTAAAAACTGAGGTCAGTGCATGAACATCTGTGCTGCAGACCCTCAGCACTGGTGCTACCTGGATAGCTAGCTTCGACCTTCCTCATCAACAGAGGCACTCATTGTTTTTCCTTTCAGCAGTCCATAAATGCATGTAGACACTTCCCTCTTTTATTCTTTTTCAGCCACAGAAGTGTTCTGCTGGTATGATTGGGTACTCAGGTGATGAGGAAAGTACAATGGTGTAATGTGAGACACCTAATGACCACAGAAAGAGCTATCGGCACTGCATTGAAAATAACTGTAAAGAATCAGGGTCTTGGAGAGGACTGTTTTGGCACTGTAGGAACCACTGCATAAAACTTCATATTGAGTTAAAAAAAAGTCAGAGCCGACAGAGGATTTCATGTGTTATGTTACTACACTGAAATACTGAAATATTGGGAAGAAATTGAGAATACTGGAAATACTGAATATTGGGAAGTGATAGAGAAAACTTCTGGATAAAAGAAGACTTGAAACAAGGACCTAAAATTAAAGCTAAACTGCCTTTTTTTTTTTTTTAATCCCTCTTTCTCTGCCCCAGAAAAGGGAGAGGGTGGCTCGCTCTGCAGTCGCTGTTCAGACAGCTGTCTGAGACATGAAAGACCAAGACGCTAGGCAGTGCATCTCATTACTCACCACATGCATAAATCTTATACCAAAAGCAATGAAGAATTATAGAGGGTTGCTGTGAGATCCCAAGTACCTTCTGAGAAGGAGAGAGAAAGTTATCAAAAAATTCAGAAATGTATGGCAGACAGGCATTCTGAAGGAGGGCATATGGTACAGCGTTGCACTTCTGTATTTCCTTGCACAAAAGGAGGTGTATTTGGCAAAACCTGAGTCATCTAACAAGCAGCATTTAATTAAGTCTGGTGTAATGTTGATTGCAATCAAAATTGCTAGAGAGCAAGCATGGCCTCTATTAAATTATGTTGGTTCTGTTTCCTTTTTTTTTTCTTTTCTTGTAAAATGACCCATAATCATAGTCTGTCTAATTCTTGGGTTGCAAACTGATGAAATATTTATTTTCTGGGTAACAAGGGCAACAGTTTGCAGAAAGAGTGATTCTTAACAAAGATGTTTTTAGGACAAATGGTATGTTACTAATTTACATGTATTATTTTTTTAAGTAAAACCCTCTGAAAGTATATTGAAAAGGTACATGTTGTTTGGAAGGGGTGAAATTCACTCACACTAGTATGTTGAAAATTTGTAATTTGTCCTACCTACATACTAGATTACAGGCAAACCACAAAGTCCCCCTACTTTGCCTTTTAGATGGTCTGATGAATGACGTCCCCTTTAGTCAATTTTACCCACAACACTTACAAATAATCATAGACAATTTTGGGAATGGACAGAAGGAGTGATTTGACAAAATTCTGTTCTGCAGATTAAAGCAAACACTCCTGAATGTAATCAGTCCTTAGTCCTTCATGCAGTTCCTTTGGTGTCCACTAGGACTACTTCCACTATTTCCACATGCAAAGTTTTGCAACATTTTTTTTTTCCAACAAGCAATAAAGAACACAAAATAATAATTTAAAATATTGCGGGTAAGAATGTGTGAGAACAGTCAGAGCATAACATTACACCAGATGTCAGGATTTGTTCTTAGACAGTAAGGTTTGGTCATAAATGAGCCTTCAAAGCCGGAGTTGGAAATATCTGTGGCTGCAGTTCGCTCATCATCCACAAAAATGGGGACACTACACAATGCACATTTCAAGCATTTGTGACTGATAAAACAAGTCACAGGACTGAGCCCCCTACAAATTCTATTTTCTTAGTTAAAGACCAACTCAAGTTGCCTTCACTCCTTAATGCCAATAGTACCATTTGCAACCAAAGGAACTTCATCAGAGAGGCCTCCAGGGAAATTCTCGAGTAGTCCAACCTCCTTATGCTGCTGAGGAGGCTGCAAGTCCTCAAATGTTTAGCTGGGAAGACACACTCTAATCTAGATGTGACCCACCTTCCAATAGAATCAGTGTCCTCTTGCATCAGGAACAGTCCTGTGATGGAAGGGATCTTAAAGGACAGAAACAAGGTGATGGGTTCCTCTGCTAATAGACACAGTTAGCTGGTCTGTGATATTTGAAAGGCCTACACAGCAGCCCACAAGTTGCACATCATGATATGCATGGAAAAGTTATCTGGAGGTGTACGAGAAGTGGAGCTGTAAGTAGTCATCACTAATGACAGAAGGAAATGTAGGAGGGATGTTCTGCAGGAGGCTGGGCAGATGGGGCCAGGACCACCATGGTGCCATAAGAAGCATGGTCAGTTCCATGAAGGCCTAAGAGACAGGCAGGGATCTACAACTATAATGCAGAGGTAAGATGATGTTATAGGGAAGAGAAGCTCAGCTTTACTAGAAGCTGGTGAACCTTCTGGGACAAATGGAACCTGTTCAAGAAGTAGCTGCACCATAATAGCAGAGCCAGGCTGCTAGTATAGAAGATGGAAGAGGTTACAATGCAATATTTAACCCCAAAGACAAAGGAAAGCTGACGGGCATGGAGGAGGTCTGGATTAGATTGATGCAATCTACTATGTGGATGTGGTAAATACTTGACATGTCTCTGAAAATACCAGGAGGAACATAAGTGGCAGTAAGAAAGGCAATTTAGAGCAGTGCTGGTTGACCAACACATGAAACATTAGGTGAGTAATTATAACTACTTTAGAAGCCTATATATGGTGCGGCAAAATGTCTTGAATCCAATGATAGCCCCCAGTTCACTGGCATCTCAGAGACCTAAAAAAGGCCTGGCTTGTACACACTCTGTAAACAGCCTGTCTTACTGCCATCACTGGAAGTAGAGTATCAGGCTAGATGATAATCATTTATCTGGTCAAGTACATTTCTTCAGTTCTCATGTTCATTGGGTTTACACAGAAGAAACCAGGGTGCAATCAGGCACTGAATTATGTATTCCACAGTCTCAGGCTGATTGTGGATACGGTGTGTCACTCCACGTAAGTACAACAGTACCCAGGCTGGAATCTTACCTTAAAATTTTGCCTCAATCTGCCAATGTTACTTTAGGACATTTGTTTTAGTTTGGCTTTCCTCTATTTTTTTTCAAAGCCATACTGATAAAACAAATTTTAAAGACTGATGTGCACCGCAAGAACTGAAACAAAACATATATTAAATGCTTTTCAGGGTTAGAGTGGTGAGTGTACTGAAAATTATAACTAAAAAAAAGCTTACGTTCATAGCAGTAGGCATCAAACTTGCTATCTGGGTAAGGAAAGCCTGTTTGGTTCTCATAGCGATACAGGGTTCTCACCCCAAGTAAACCTCCACCACACTGGGGCCTAGCCACCGAGGCAGGGTAACGAACACTTCCATCCGCCAGCCAGCCGTAATCACACTGGTCAAAGCCATTCCTCCAGGCAACATACAGGTTTCCAACAGAAGCAAGGACACCATCTCGTTTCCGACACAACTCTTTAGCTTCCTCAAAGGTGAGCTTCTCAGGAACGGAAACATGAACCACTTCATCTAGAGGAAGAAAAAAATAACAAAGAATGAGCATCAAATTCCACGATCAAGTCAACTTAGCTTCCTTCCTCCTGTCCTGTAAGTTTGCTTTCAAATTTTGCTTGATCAGTTTTTTGCTTACCCTTTTGCTCAAAAAAGCAGATATTCAGAAAATTAAAAGTCTCAGATTTCATTACGAAAATGTGCCTACCTCAAAGTACAATTATTTTTATACAAACATTATGCAATGAGTTACATTGTGGCTGGAGATTGGGTCCCTTCCCCAGTCTCTAGGCAGAGGTAACAAGAGCCTGGAAGCTCCTCTGTGACCTCTGTTGGAGTAGACTTTGTGACTCAACTATGCTAATTAAATCCAGTCCAACAGATTTTACTTTCTCAGTAAAACAAATCCTTTACATCTGCAAGTCTTTTACCTCACCTTTTTAGTCATCACTAGAATCTCACTTGAGACACACACACAAAGCAAATGCTCTTCACTGCTGCTCCGCAGCAGCTTCGAATGTTGTATTTACATCAGTCTTGACCTTGCCCCATAGGGAACACAGGTGAGGGAATGCACTAGGCAAGCTGTGTGCACAAAGCCCTTTTTGTGTGAAAAGCTGAATTAATCTAGACTGCCCCTAGTATAATTTAGTTTCCATGGAACAGTAATTTGAAAATAATAACTTCTCAGTTGGAAACTGAAAGAAAACAAATAGCATGTCAAGTATTCTACTTCAAAGTCAAATAGCCATTATGCAGTTGGATCTGTTGCCTTGTTCACCCAAACACTATAAATGAAATCAAGGCTCTGATGTCTGTGCCCTGGGAATGAAGTAGTAAGCTGACTCCTTTCTAGTTTTCATTCAGGCTTCAGACCTAAAATCAATGCGTTCAGCTGTAGAAACAGAGCAAACTCAAAATATCTGTTACCAGACAGTACTTCTCTTCCCCACCCCTTGTACGGTGGACCAGAACACAATGGACAGCACTGCTAATTCACACTGGACATGCAATCTGCCATACCTCAGCAGTTGTCTCAGGGTAACCTAGCAAAAGGCAGACAGACTACATCACCCCAAGCACTTTCATTCACTTCAATATTACACTTGTTTCGAGCTTGAAAGGAATGCAAGCGTGAAAGGAGGCAACGTGCCAATTTTCTTTTTCCTCCTAGGTAGAAACTCTGATTTGTTATTACAGCTGTAATATCAATTCCACCGGGTAAGTTTCTTTATGCATGCTGTAGGGAGTGTCCAACTTAGAGGTAAAGTACTGTAGCTACTGAGGGACAGAGCACATCTATAAGGCACACTTTAAGGTAAGGAAAGTGAAGAATCATTCACCTCTCAGAAGTGCCAGAGTGCTTCATTCAGCTCTCCAGACCATAAAGACAATGCACTTTTTTATTAAACACTTCTGCAGAAGACAGCTTTTTCTGCATCAAGGGGCAGATCTGGTATTATGGCCAATAATGAATGGTGGATGCAGCTATCCCACAACACCATCCCCATGGCAAATACCATGAAACAGTGGAGCACAGAAAGACCACTCTAAAGCAGCCCCTTCTGTTCTGACGACTCTTCAGCCATGCAACAGTTGTGGTGTATATGGAAATTAGTAGTTAAAATTGTTGCAAATAAAAAGCAGATAATATCAATCCAGGTAGACAACAAAATAAGACAAGGGAAACAATGTATTTTATAGGTTTTCTCCCAATAAATATGATGCATCAAAAAGAAAATAATGTCAAAAAATCCCACAGCATTCTTCCTGGGAGAAACTTACTGAAGACAGAAAAACAGGTAAACGGTGCAAGATTAAAAACAAGCAAATTTTCCATCAACTAATCTGGATCACCTCCTCCAAATGAAATATCATTGAAGTTGCAGATATTTAATCCTCTGAGATGATACCTGCAACTTGTTAAAGCAAGGAAACTTCGCGAGCAGTTTTGTCTTGCTATGAGATTTCAAAACACAGAGTTCAAACTGTACTTTTGTAGAGTATTTTGCAGAGAACTTACCTATCCAAATTGCACAAGCAGATTTTTATACAGAAATATACTTTGAATTTGCCTTTGAACATGCCTGTTTATGCAATACTGAGGGCAGTGCAATTTTAAAAGAAGGGTGGCATGTCTTCCTTTATACTCAATCTATTCTACTGTACCATCAGCAATTTATTTTGTTTGTCTGCTGAATTCGGCTGCTCTCATGCAGACACCATCTTTGTCAAAGGGTGTTCTACCAGAAAAACTAAATGATTAAAACACCCACATGTTTAAGAAAAAATGCAGTCTAACCAGAACAGTCCAGCAAGTAAAGTCCAAAGTTATTTTTTTTCTTTGCCACTCATTTGGCAGCTTAACATTAAATAAATAAATAAATAAATAAATAAATAAAAGAGGTTAAATTCACAAGGAATGCAAAAAGGTACCAGAGTGATCAGTAAACTGCTTTTATTGTCATTCCATCATATAACAAGTAAATATTCATGTATTTCAGGAATGTAGATGACAAAATAAAGGGTAAAAACATGTTAAAACATAGCAGCTTGCAGTTGTTCTGGGTAAAGAGTGGTTTGCAGGAATAGCAGGAATTTATCCTAGGAGGTATGACTCTGCAATTTGGCTGTCCAGTATGAAAACAAAATAAATGTATATATGTTTGTTTGAGTGTGCACTTAGTATATGTAATAATTGTTGGCACAAATTGTAAAAAAATAAAATAAAATAAAGCATGGGTTTAATAAAGGCCCCTCATTATAAATTTTCTGCAATCTGCTTCCAAAGCCACATTACAAATAAAATAAATAAATAAATAAATAAATAATAATAAAAAAGTTTACGTTTTCTGTCAAGCACTTGAGAAGAAAGCAACTCTCAAAATGCTTCATCAACTGGATAGCATCAATTTCATTTGCAGCAGCCCAAAAATATGTCATGAGCAAGTCTGCACAAACTTTTCTGCACCTTGAGCAGACTATGGTCATGTACACCACATGCACAGCAGTCAGCGCTTCAGGAATATACTGACCCAGAGAGCACAGAGGAAATTTGTCAGAACCTACTGTTTGTGTATACCGGTGCAATCACTTGGAACGTAGGGGTATGTAAAATATTTGTATTTCCTAAAACCAGCCGTATGTAATTGAAACTCATACAGAATTCCCCCATCCATATGATGAGATAAGTTGCTATCCATGTCACCTTTCTGACATGATTAGTGTCCCACAGCAGTGTGGAAATTCAGTTCATAGTATGTAAAAAGAATGCTGGTCCTACTTTTCTGAACATGCATTTAATACATGTAGCCTGTAAAAATTATTCCTGTTTTTGGCAGCAGAGTGGGTTCCATATTTAGCAAGAGGATTGCTTCTATCAGTCTTTTAAAGTGTCTTTATGATGATATTTGAAAGCACCTCCATTCCTCAGCCAAAAGACTAGAAGAGTACCCCAAAGAAACTCTGAGAAACATTGATAAACAAATGGTATAGCCACAAACACCAGAGTAGGGCAGATTTATTATCATTATTATTATTTTATGTTAAAATCTATCTGCAATGTTTTTATATCTGTAGTCCACTCCAAGGAACTTAGCAGTGTTATGCAGGCAAACCCCAGGGCTTAGACCAGCAGATGGAGAGGAACTAGTTCTACAGTTCCAGGGAACAAAATGGAGACCATGACAATGTTTAGACTGCAGACAACAAAGTAATGTGTATTATTCCTGGTAACTGTTTAATTTCAAGTTTCAGGTCAATTGCACACCCATGGTGGTCAGAGCAATTGAAGAACCCCCAGAACTTTCCTGTTACATGGATTTGTTTTGCCTGGTTAAAACAGACACCTGACATGTCTTTTTCCCCTCTTTCCTTCTCCCCTCTCTTTCAAATACATCAAGCTACATGAAGAAGCCAGCTTTTTCCCTTGAAGACAAAAGCTGATTCAGCCCTAAGGAAAAAAACTTTAGATCCACTGACTTATCAGCTAGTTTTATAGCAATCTTCATTCCTTTGAAGGTTATTTCACATATTCTCTCTCATCAAGAGACATCTCACTGAGCTGGGCATGTTTGTAGGTGTGAATTTCATGAATCATACATCTTAAAAGCAAGCACAGAAATGAGGGCAGGCTAGAACCATAGCCGGGGGTCAATACACAACATGTATTGACTAGGGCAAAAGTAATGAATCTAGCTGTAGCCCTCCAGCACAGACCTCATCAGTAATTTCTCTTCCCATAGGTGAAACCACAGTTAAGGGATTGGTGTGTTGTTACTTCCTAGAGGAGCTCTTCGAGCCTGGCTATGTGGCAATCTTTCCCCAGAACACAGCATCATCCCCTCAGCTTCACATGCCATCATGCAGTGTGCCAGTATCAGCCAAATGAAGTACAAGTCGCTGACACCTGGCAGGTGAAAGTGTCATGTAAAAGTGATTTTACACTTGACATGACAGAAATTTTACAGATGTTTGAAGGATTCTATGAAACTGCAGAGACATTTAAGAGAGAATATGGGAGTTTCTCACAGAATGTTTTTACAGATCTGGTAACACACCAGGTGGTGTTGATGGTGGCTGGTCAACCACCTAAGGGGTGTCCTCCTTATTAGCCAACCCATTTGGAGAAATGACTAGGAGAGCCTTGCATTTATAATGCAATCCCCCTTTTCACCTGTATTAATCTCCCTAAGTAACAAGACTCTTAGTTATGACTGTCCCAACTGGGACTGAGCAACACAGGGTATACATGTAAGTGCTCTCACATGGTTGGGTGCTCAGATTCTACAGCCTGCACTACTTTCAGTGTTGCGTAAACAAAGACATAAAGAAAAATCAAGGGAATCCAGATGGATATTAAATTCACAGAACTCTAATTACCCACAAGAATTTCCATTTTCTCCTTATTCCTTTCTATCTTTGGCCAGAAGGCTCTTGCAAAAAGGCATCTGCACTCACCAACAGGACTATTAGACTGCTTGTGTACCAGAGTAGAAGAAATACTGCCCGCATCAATC